AAATACAATGAAAATCGTCTAAAAAATGTGCGAACAGCCTATTTAATTATAATAGTAGGTAATATTGAGCTTCTGCGTAGACTGAAAATTCATGTACGTGAGTTGAAGGATCTTATTCTATAATTTTAGTTATAGAATGAAAAGAAAGACACACAGAAAAATGTAGCAAAATTGACAGATTTTGTAACTCTGACGATATAATTATGTGACTTTCTTACTTATAGTAATTTAATTTCCTTACAATATTTAAGATGGCACTTTTTATATTTCTAGATATCAGTGCTCCAAAAAGCCACCCCTTAATAGGACAAAAATGCGGCATAGCAGCTAAAGCTCCAGATCTTCGTATAATAGGCGGTAGAGAAGCTAAAAGAGGAAGCTGGCCGTGGCAGGTGAGATAATTAAAGTATTTATAGCTCATATTGTAGTCCATATTTAAAAGCTCGTTTCCTATTTATAGATTTTACGCATACAAGGTGTTTTTTTTTTTTTTTTTTTTTTTTTAAAGTTTAGAATAAAGAAGAATCTATAAGTCTACGTCTACATAGCTATAAGTCTCTCACAGTTTACAGCCGAGAAAGACGTTAAAACCTTATAACTTTATAGTTAGGATTAGAAGTTCTGGAGAAATTCAATTTAGATATCTAAATGTGTATTTTTGTTAAATAATTTTGTAATTAATTCTACTTTTAATTCCCGAAAACATTTATTGTAGGTTATATAAATATTATTTATACCAAAATATTAGTTTGGCTAAACCGGACTACATTGTTAGCGGTAAAAAAATGTAGTATACATGATATTAATGGAAAATAAATATGCATTAAACCTCATTTCTTATCTACTCATTCTGAAAATTTCTATTGATGTGTTAGCAGTTTATTTGTATTAAATCTAACATATAGAAAGTAATACGTATACATTGCAGTTTCCACCCCCCCCCCTCAATTATGGGTCGGGTATCCTCTGTTAATAGGTACAAACTTCTCTTCAATAAAATATAAGATTATTTTTTACTAAACTCATTTGCAACTTCTTCCAGGTCGCCATCTTGAACAAACACAGAGAACCTTTCTGTGGAGGAACATTACTAGCAAAATCATGGATTTTGACTGCTGCCCACTGTGTACGCAGGAAGTTATTGATCAGAATCGGGGAACATGATCTCATGTCTGATGAAGGTACAGAACAAGAGAGTAGAGTCATAGATTCTTTCATCCACCCAGATTATGATGCAGATACTGTGAACAATGACATCGCCTTGCTGAAAGTGAAGCATCCTTTCTCCTTAAACAACTTTGTACAGCCTGCTTGTTTACCTTCCTCGACAGACGAACTGGAGACTGACACAAGAGCAATCATACTTGGATGGGGTACGTCAAAAGTCATTTCAAAACATTTGAGCTTTTCTTATATAATACTGTATTAACTTTCTTTAACATTCCAAAACAAAAAATAACAAAATAGATTTGAAGGGGGCTTGGATCCACAAGCAAATTTATTCTCAGAGAATATGTATGAAAGGCTGCATGCAAAGCGTTTTCGTGTTATTCTCATTTTCAAATTGGCAGATTTCATAACCAACAGTAAACTTATAAAAACAGTAAAATCCTTATAAGGACTTTTTAGGCTTAAAGATTTATTTCACCAATTCCCAGATATTTTCCTGTTTCGATAAAATTCAGTTCCCTCACATAGAACTTCTTATATTGAAAGGACATTCTTTTTGCGAAGTTCTGACACTACTCTTTCGAAAAACTTTACCTTTTTTTTTTTTTTTTTTTTTTTGTTAACTTTATTTAGAGAGCTTGTTAAAAACATTTATTTCCTCATTTTGAACAAGAAACGGAAATCTTGAATCTTGTTTGGAAGCAATCATAACTTGCTGCCAACAAATAATAATGAGTGTTTCTGGACAGACTATATACCACTTGTCTGGACGAACTTATTTATTTATTAAAAATGCCCGACTTTTGGCATTTAAGCCATTAGCTGTCTTGCTTTCCAGTATTTCTGGGCGACAAATTTAAAACTATTAAGTGTATAGCATGTGTTATATTCTTTGATCATTTGTTGTTCAGAGTCACAAAGCAAGCATGCTTGCAGATTCCCTCAGTCCAATATAAAAGAATTAAGCATTAAGGCAATCATATCCAATCAGATAGAGACTCCATAATGCGCTGGCATCCACTGTAGTGTAACTGAGTCCATAAGGCTGCGTTCAGATGGTTGTATAAATGTCACAGAGGCATAGTCAAAAGGCATAAAATGCGGAAGTTCCATTCACATCTCCGAGCCGTTGCCAATTAGAAAAGCTACATTGATTGGCCGACTCTTATACCAAGTCGGCATAGAGTTGAAAACTTCAAACTTAATGTCAAAATCTCTAAACCAGTTTTTCTTACTTAGCAAGATCTGGTTACCTAGAAACGAAGCTTGCCTTAAACCAGTTATGACGCTTACACCACCGGATGAACAGAGGTTAAGAGTGTCTGCGCTCATAATGTGTTTTCAGTTGAAAATCCTGTAGGACGTCTAGACGGATTACGTACCTATTATTAAATTCTATAATTTGCAGTTTATTGAAAGGAGAAGGAGACATTTAACATTAGATAGTTTTTTATAAAATTAATTAATGAGTATATGCTTCAATTAATGAAAGATTTCAATCAAAACAAGCTAAAAACTCTATAAAAAATGCTATGTTTTTACTTATATATATTCTGAATTAAATGCATTTCTATTTAAATCAATCAGATTAAAAAGTAAAAAAAAAAAAGTATTCTTAAGAACTGCGTCTGTAGATTTTAAACAGTTTAGTTTAACAAATTAATAAGACAAATTATCCATGAAAGAATAACATCTTATATTTTTCCATATGGCAACAGATTCGAATGAAAAGTGAAACGATGCTATTTCGTATTTCTGGACAAACATTTTTTTAGGCAAATAATATAGTAGTTGAAATTAAAATTAAAGAATTATGTTTTAAAATAGCAGCTTAATTAAAAACAAAATTTAATGTAAATAATTTAAATTCAATTTTAAAATAAAATTTTGTGGTAAGTTGTTTTATAAACAATTATAATTTTGGAAAATTGTGTTTTTAAGAAATGCTTGAGTCCCTTGGAAAGTTTCTTATGCAGGTTCTGCTATGTGTTCCAAAATAATCTGACTTAAATAACGAGGAGCAACACAAGAAATTATCGCCCTGAGAAAAGAGTAATAACTTGCAAAGCAAATTTAATGAAGAAGCGACTAAGATTTTATTTCTAACGGTCTGCTTTTCTCAAATTTTAAAATAACTCAACACAAAAACAGAATTATCACTTTCAATACATATAAAACAGTTCTCCTAAGCATCTAAAATTTAAGTCAAATTCTAAATCAATTAGATACCCGTTTTTTATTTACTGCAAGTGAAATTCGAGTCTCACTTTTCACATTCTATGAATCTGCGGTCAGTGATAGCATAGCTAAAGGAATTCAGCAGCGGAAACAAATAGCTGAAGCAGAAAGCAAATTTGACTAATGTTACTCTGCAGGTGAGAATCAAACCCAATTAAAACTTCTGCTCGCGTAACTTAAATGTTAATGACCTTCTGGATCGGATGAAAACCGTCTTGATAGAAACTAAGAAGATCAAGAAATGGCAAGAATTTAAATTTAACTGTTAGCAATTTAACATAATTGGCACAATATGTTACATAAAAGAAAAGATTATATCGATTATATAAAAGATTACATAAACCTAATGTCACTGATGAATTTTAAGTGACTGACAACAATATACTTAGAAGCTGATAATATAAAATAAATAAATAAAAATTGAAAATACAAATGCAAACGTTGAAATATATTTAGAGAATAATAATAATGAAAATATATTCAGAGACTAACTATAAATGGCTGGTATAGATATCTTTAAATCTAAAATGTATTATTATTAAAATGCCATATGTATATAATACGACAAAAATATATATGAGTATTAAATGCTGACAAAACACCTTCTTATATTTAACATCTATACATAAGTTTTATAACTGTCAGGAGTAATCTTACTGTATTATTCTCTTTAACAGGAAAAAGGAAAGATACTGCGTTTTTTGGGACAGACCATTTACATCAAGCAGAAGTACCGATAGTTTCCTCGGAAGACTGCCGCGAAAATTACGAAAATTATCATATTAGTGGCAACATGATGTGTGCCGGTTTCAAGCAGGGAAGAGTGGATTCTTGCGCCGGAGACAGTGGAGGACCGTTACTGTACCAAAAAAATGGTAAATGGACAATATATGGAATTACAAGTTTTGGTGAAGGCTGTGGGCAAAAAGGGAAATATGGAATATATGCCAAAGTCGCAAAATTTGTCCGGTGGATAAAAAAAACGATAGGAAGGAATTCATGAAGAAATAATTCGTACTGGTGATGAGCTGTTAAATGGGACTCGATGCAATAGAAATATTTTAATCTGTATCTCAAAAAGAGCAGAAAACGGATGCGTGAGATTAGCATCAATTATTGAGCAAGAATTGGGCAATGCAGAGTTTATGAAGATTTCTTCAAATATTTTACATTTTATGAATAAATTTATTAGGGACATTTTCGAAGCTAAATAAGGTATGCCATTTTTCAGTGATTCAACACCTGAAAGAATTTTAAAATATATGAATACACTCGACGTATATGGATTCTCATTATATTTATAAGATTTTGTTGTGTATGTTAATTCTTAGTGTAGTCATTTTTTTAATCTAGTATATTAATATTAATGAATTACATAGTGCCTTTATGAAGTTTTAGGACTACGTTCGTGCAAGACCAAAAGTTGGGAAAGCTGCAGTTTTACTTAAATTCTATGAATCTGCGGTCAGTGATAATTATCGCCCTTTTCTTAAATTCTATGAATCTGCGGTCAGTGATAATTATTATTAATAATCTGCGGTCAGTGATATTATTATTATTTATTTTTTAATCATATTGTTTCTTCAAAATACAATTAAGTCTATGCTTTGCTTGGCACGTTCATACAGCTTCTTTAATTCCTTCCAGGAACTCATCTTCTGTATACTCTCTGTTTATGCTTTTTTCAACCCCTTCAAGGATATAAATGTGACGCGACTTTTGTGATAAGACTTCATTTCAGGGAAAAGAAAGAAGTCTGGAAGGGTGATCTGGTGAAATAACGAGCGATTGAAGAACTTGTGATACTTTATTTACTGATATGTTTATTAGAATCTGCTTGACGGAAATAGAGTTATGTGAGGGTCGCATTGTTATGCTGAGGAATCCAGTTTCTGTTTGATTTTTTTTTCGACCTTAAGCACCGAATTCTCTTTGAAAGTCTCTTTATTACAATAATTTCAAGACCAAATTCCTTGAGAAATATACTTTTCCAAACAAACAATCACCAATATTACTTTTACTCGAGAATTCTGAAACCGAATTTCTGCGGGACCATAACCTTTCCAGCCCAAACACATGATTGCCACTTTATCAAATATTCATAAGCACAAGTTCCAAGTTTCATCTTGATTCTTTGTTTAAAAACGTCGTTTTAAACATTTGATTTTTGACGTTTGTTTTAAAACGTCAAGATTAATAGCTTCCATTTAGATTAAATCATGGCATGCATAAATTCGATGCTTCTTCTGTTCTACACTCCGTGCAAAACACAGACAAAAACCAAAACACATTTTTCGTATGATAATTTTGTGAGCAGTATCTTTCACGACGCTAAAATTTATCTGTTATTTTTTGAAGGGACAGAGCACAGTTTTTGAGCTACAAGTGTTGATCGCTTTCGATGCTCTCGTCCGTTCGAGAATGCAAAAGAGGATCATTCCTAGGTTCATCATTAGTATCTTCAGGTCAATCATGAAATCGTACCTACCAATGAGAAACATTGGAAATATTAACGCATCACATTTCAAAAGACAAAACTGCTATTTTTTCCACTTTACAAGAACATTTTGTTGCTGTTCTTTGCTCAGCTTTTGAATTCGTGACAACAGATATTCACTGGATCATAGCACTCTGAAAATTCTGTCCATAAGCAGACGATAGCATTGTGTTCATAAGCAAACAAAAGCAACTTCAATTGCAGTAGCAATAAACGCTGTTTATGCATCTTTTGCTAATGTTTGCTGAAATTTCTTTAAAAAAATAGGCCAGAAACTTCATAGAGCACTATTACTATTTAAACACTCATAATTTAGTGTAGTATAATTCTATATATCAATACAGCAAGATTATTTTATTTTACCTTTTAATCTCGAAATTTTTCATTTCTCTTTCTTTTTTATCTTTCAAAGTTTTCTGATTTAATACCATATTTTAATTCACCATCTTTAAATATGGAAGAAAGAAAATTTTAAGTGTTTGCAAGAGCATATTACAGTAGATTTCAAGCATAAATTGATTTACTCAAATTTTAAGCCATAAACTATTTCGTTAATGATAAATTAGCCTTTTGTAAAAATTTTATTTAGCAAAAAGTATAAAAATTTTCCCCATTCAATTTATTTTTTAATCATATTGTTTCTGTGTTTTATTTTACTACATGATTTTAAAGTTTTATTCATATTATCTTGTAAGAATTTCAGAAATAATTTAAGGACGGCAAATGTAATATTTTACCAAATTAAAGAATTGTCTCTGTGCACCTTAATAATATCATTTGTGAGAAAATGATTGTTCAGACTGTCTACTGGTTATTGTTCAAGGAAAAGACGGAGGATTTCATTTAGACAAAACTGCATTATTTTATACAATTAGAGGAATTGCTTCTATCATAATTAAAATGTCCCGATTTTCACTAAAGAAGTTTATTTACAATTGAATTAGTTGAAATTTTAAATTATAAGTCGATTCAATCGTAACTTTTTTCTCATTTTAAATCTTGGAAACTTAAAAATTTAAAAAAGATAAGCACATAGATGGATAGATAACAATAGCTTTTAAAATCGATAGCAGCTCTTAATAGTCGATAGCTCTTAAAATAGCAATCTACTCATCAAAGCTGCTTTTCTTGTTATTTAAATTCCAATATACAGTCGACTCCCTTTAATTAGGGCACATATACGGACAAAAATAGTTAGACATTGCGGCTAATATTGCAATGAAAATTACCTTTCCATCTTACTGAAATAGATGCATTGGAAACAGTTACTAAAATGTCTGGAGATTGAATTTGTCTACCGAGACGTAAGAGAAAGAAGGTAAGACCATTCTCTCGTTAGAAAGAAGCATCAGATGCATTGAAAGATTTTCAAGAGATGTAAACCATCCTGTAACAAATGATGAATGAAACTACGCAGCCACAAACAGATAATTCCAGTGTAGTGAAGAACAAAGAGAAATGAATTAAAATAAACCGTTTTCGACACTAACTGTAATCTTTACCGTCGATGTAATATAATTCTATATATCAGGGATGGCCAAACTTCATGTCAGTAAGAGCCGAACGTTGAAATTCAGGAAAGTTCGAGCCTCGACTAGATTTTATAAAAGCCGCAAGTCCGTATTTATGTTCTTTTAAAAGCAGTGAAACAGGTTTCAAACGGAAAGAAATAGCTGATTCTAAGCAATTATTTAATGACAGTTTGCCTTCAGCATGTGATGATGCGTCGAAGACAACGCGAAATTTTGCGGTTCTTACAGATTCTCGAAATTTTCTAAGAAACTTCTAATAATCTTCTGAAACTGTCATCAGGTTTGCTAAAAATTTCCAAAGCTTCCAGTTGCCATAAAGTTTTCAACATTTCGGATGCCAAATTAACTTCTAAATTACTTTTAAATTGTTTCAAATTCTGTATGATATTAGATGTTTCTTATGCATTACATGCGTTTTCTTTTCCGCTCATAGATTATCCCTGTTTAGGTTTTACCGCTGCTATTGATTCAGATATTCGGCAGATCCTTTCTGTATCCATTCATAGAGCTTCCACAAGCAAATTTTTAAAGATTTTCTCTTAGGGATTTCACTTTTATAGATTTTCTTCGCAAAATTGTTTGATAGAATCAAAAAAAGTTTTTATTTTATTTTATTTTACCTTTGTTAATAACGCTATTAAGTTTCTTAATTAACAAGATATGAAATAAAATAATTAAGCTTTGATACTGATCAGTTTAAGTTTGCTAATAACTCTCAAAGCAACGAAATAAAGGAATTAATTTCTTTTGCGAACAGAGTAGTTTTAGTTGACCCTATTTCATACGCATATTTTAACTGAATAACAGTTGCACTATTCGCTTTCGAGAGTCGCACATGATTCGCAAGCCATGCTATGGCCACCCCTGCTATATATCGATGAAATTTTTACCGCACTTCATTATACCCATTTGTTCGATTTTTTTTTTCATAAATTTTTGAAATCCTTGCATATTTTTATTGCAACTGTCAGAGCTGTAATATGAAAGCCCTCTTTTCCTTGAAAAATACACCTAAATTTCATGGTTAACCGTGTTTTATTACTAAGAATACAATAAAATATCATAGCTGAGAAAAGTTTTATACATAAAATTTTAATTTGTGTTATAAACATGCATGCATTTGTCAGTACTGTCTGTAAGAACTTTTATGAGAAGATTTCTGGAAAATAGTATGTCACATACTTTTATTAAATAGTTAGTGACTAATAACATAATTTATTTAGGAAACGGTTCTCTTTCTAAACGCTCTCTTCTTCCTGAAGTGTGGTCGTCTGATCACTATAGAATATTAGAGCTTCCTTCAAATCTCTCGTTCAAGTTCACATTTATCATAATCATTTAATAAAACTATAAAAAGACATCTTTATGGAAATGAAAATTCGAGAAGTAAATTTTTAAACGTTCGATTACCTTTAATTATTATGATAATTTTATTTGCTGGAAATCCAAGTGCCGGGAAGGCGGTAACTTCTATGAACTCTAACTAAATCAATTGAATGGCTTGTTACCAGAAATAAGCTTAGAAAATTCTCGTCATTTAACAATTACAATCCACATAAAGATTTTACCTAAAGAGTGAGCATGTTAACTGCATTCGTCTTTGCTTTAGTTACATTAAAAACAGAACTCTCGAATGATATAATCAAAAAAAAAGGGGGGGACTCATTCAGCTTAGTAAGAAAATAGATGTGACTACACATTTACCTATTATATACTAACACTTAAAAGAACGAATCCTTGTCTGCCGTTGCCAGCTTCATTATACAATTTAAAAATTTAAAAAATCACTATTTATTTTACTATATTTAGACTATTTTGTTTAGTTCACGCTATATAAGCATCATTATTTAGCATTAATTTGAAATTTTATGAAGCTATTTTCTCTATTCAGAATAAATTCAGTGATGTTAACAATAGTATATTTTAATTCAAAAAATTATTTATGTAGCAATGAAAATATGTTTAAGTAGTTTGTGTAGTATGTTAATTAATAATATGCCAATATCTGATATTCCCGTTTATGTGTTTGTTGTAAATATGGACAACCATCAATATTTTGGAAAGAAAAATTTTCCTCAAGGCATTGCAAATCAGAAAAAGATAGGTCTGTAATAAACTGGAAAGATATAATTTGTGCTTTGTATTCACTTTCTTGATGTTGTAATGTGAAATTGTAAAAAAACAGAAAACAAAAAAAAATATATATATATATATATAAGTGATTTTTTATTAACTGGAGAAAATTAATTGTTGTTGTTATATGCATTTAATGATATAGTTTGTTTGCGCTGTTGACTGTGTCTTACATTAAGACTTTTTATTGTTGCAAATGAATTAAATTTATTAAAGTTTAATTGTTTGTTTAATTTTTGCCATCCCATTTTTACGGATACAATATACGCAACGAATTTCATTTCGCCATTCTACCAATCCATTCCTTATACAGAGTTTACTCTCGAAACTATTACAACTAATATGAAGCCAAAAGTTGATTTTATGAATAAGCATCTAAATTCATTTAAAGTAACTGCATCTGAGCTTTCCATAAAGCAAGCAACAAAAAGCTACTTTTTTATCTCAAGAAAACTGCTTATGGAGCATTAAATTGTTTACACATCGTGCAGGACATTTGTGTCGTGTGTGCATATTTTCAGCATGCTTTGTGTAGTTACGATTACTGTTTGTTGTGTCAAAATGTAGCAAAGTATAAGTGATTCTCACCAAATTGCTATGAAAAAGTCAATACACTTCCATGTGTGCTCTTACAGTCCACATGCATTTTCGAGTCAATAGTCTAGTTCTGTAGAACTTTTCAAGGGTATTGGAGGATACTTGAGCAGAAATACCCCATTTTAGTTCATCTAGGCGGCCCCGAAGGAATTTTTTGTGGCCCGTGAAGACATTTCAGTTATTTATTTGGTGCAAAGATTTCAAGATTTTAGTTATTTGAAGTCTGAATATAAATTAATTTTATTTCCGTTAAAAACGAATATGAATAGCTTACTAGATAATCTATAAACGGAGCTAATTAGTCTAAACTGTGATATAAATCTTATTCAATTAGTGTTCTGTCTTAGAGAAATACAGAAGCTGTTTTCGCTCATTTTTTTGGACAACTTTTTTTTTTTTGCTATAAAAATTGCCTGCTTAGAAATTTTTTTAACTGCAACTGTATTTTTGAAAGTGTAAGTTATCATCTGCTATTTGACAATCTATTTTGTTTTCTTGTAAAATGGGGCTTTTAAAGAAGCAATAGGCGGAAGGATATGTTTGTGCTCTTTCCAACATTATTGAAATAAGTACCCAAGGAAAAAACAGGATGTTTCGAATGGAAAACAACAGTGTATCAAAGCCATACCCTTCACTCATATCCCTGCTAAATCTCCTGATGTAACATCTACGGATTTTTGCGCTTTTGGATTTTAAAAAGCATATTGTTCCGACGTCGACCTATAACTCTCCTTGGACATTGGAAAGCTGTTCGAGAAGAATGGGATAAAATATCTCTTCCGTTATTAAAAATAAAATCTGTACTTTCTTGGAAATTACGGGGTAGAAAGACAGTGAAGAATAAGGGTTATCAAATGGAACATTTAAAACATAAAAGTTTTATGTAAAGTATTTCTGTAAATACAGTAAAATCGTCTAAAAAACGCGCAAACAGCCTTAGTACTATAGAGAAACGGTACCTATATAGCATTTGTGCGCAGTAGGCATCCTCCATACTTCCATCCATCAATCTGTTAAAACTGTTTGTAGCTCATCCATTCAATTTATTGTGGATAGTTATCATTCAGCTAATTGCTACTTGAATCAAACGTGATTGAGGGACATTTTTTTATCCCCCCCCGGCTCCTTAAAAATCCAACCCCAATATGTGCTTTGATTAGCATTCAAATTACATGCTGTGTGCCGTCTATCATCAATTATTATGGTATAAACAGAGCTTCAAGTAAGCAAACGTTGAATCGTGAGTCCAGAAAGACAGGCTTGGATGTAATGAGGATTGTGACTAGTTGTCACATGAGCGGAGAAAAGACATCCACCTGGTTGCGAGACCCTAGAGCGATTACCTGAAAATTACATATTTACAAATTCATCAAAAAAGTTCATAAAAGAAGTGACGGAGCTTGACGTCGATAAGAAGATCCAGTTTTCATTGCATGAAGTTTGGGGAAAGAGGCAAATAAATGTTCACAAAAGTGAAATCAGAGTCACATGACAGAGTCTGTCCATCTGCATGAACATAGGTAAATGCTGCGAGTTTCATAAAACTATTGGCTGTTCATCATGTAGAAGACATAAATATAATTAGTAGGTGAAAACTGGAATAGTAAAGGGGCAATCATTTACGTATATACGAATTTCTATCATACACAAAGCGGTATAAGTCCTTTTGAAACGAATTTCAATTTATCACGTCACATTACCCATCACATAATATAGTTACTCACCAGGTCGGACTAGTTGTCACCAGCCGCCCAGATGTGTCAGGCCAGCTGTCGCCTGCCGCCTAGATGCGTCAAATGCGGTCAAGGGCATGTATCTCGCTTTTGCACCAAGCCCTCTTCAGAGCCAACTACCTTTGCGAACTGCGGCCAAAACTACACGGCATCATATCGTGGTTGCGTTTATTTCCCCATAACAAGGCAAAACTCAACAGGAAATAAGCTATACTCTGAGAGAGTTGTAGCGAACAATGCTAAGCCCCTGCCAGGACATAAACTCTCGGAAATTGTTGAACTCACCGCCAAGCTTAAAGAAGCTAAACTAGTCACCGCGCGACATACTGTCGCGATCTCCATGCTTAAAGACGCCAACACTCAACTCACCAGCGCTGCTGCCTAAAAATCAGTCATGTTCTGTCAGTCTAACAATCGATAATTCAAACGCCTCATTTGCGCCCATTTCTCTCGTGCTTTGGAATGCATAAAACCTCACCACCATACTACATGAATTTTATCAGTTTCTGTACCAGCAGGACATTGGCATCTGTCTAATAACAGAAATGCACGTTATTCCCAGACATAATCTAAAAATCGCTAATTACTCATCTTACCGCTGTGACATACTCAGACATAGAGGCGGAGATGTTAAATCTATATAAAACGTTCTCTGTGCTCAGGACTCACTTCCACAGACAACTCTAAGTGATTTGAAGCAGCATGTGTCAACATCACAATCCCCAAACTAGGAAATGTCATATTTTGCGCCTTTTACAATCCACCTGACAGTCAAGTTTCTGAAGCTAACCTGCAAATGTGTCTCAAAACTCCTGCTCCCATGATCATGGGCGCCGACTTTAACGCTAAGCACTCTGATTGGAAATGCAATTTCACAAACAGTAATGGCAGAGACATCCACAGCCAAATTGAAAATCAACCCATTTTTATTTTAGTCCCAGATGCATCAGCCTACCGCCCAAACATGATTAACAGACTTCTGGATATATTGAACTTTTTTCTGACTAACTTTAATCTTCTTATCCTACAGACTGTCACTGACATATCCTCTAACCATATTCCAGTCCTGGGAAGACTTGTTATAAATGAACCCAATCTCTCCCACTCAAGAAAAATTACTGACTGGAAACTTTTTTTACAATATTGCTGCTACCTCACCCTTCAGTCTCGGCTCTCTTCGCTCTCCCAAAGATATCGACACTGCAGTGCAAATTCTTACCTCAGAACTACAAGATTTTCTACTTCAGGCAACTACTGAGAAGTTTCATGAAACTTATAGTCCTCTCCACACCTACATCAGAGACTTTATCACCCAAAGGAATAGAGTCAGGAAGCAATTTAATTGTATCTCGAACCCAGCTAGCAAGACTAGAATTCACAGACTTACAAGAAAAATTCATAATCTCATTCTAACTCCTCGCACTAAAATCTGGAATAATAACATAGACAATCTTAACTTAGAAAATGGTCCCTCTGGAACCTCCTGAGAAAAAATAAAAACTCTTCGCACAACACTCCTCCAATCCGTAGGCCAGGTGGTTTTGCCTACACTAATAGGGAAAAAACAAATGTTTCGCAGACCACTGACTAGACAGTTCATCTCTAATGACTTCCCTACTAAACCTGCCGCCATCAACTCCATTTTCTGACACGTCAATAGCTGATTTAACTCTCCTTCTCCTCAGCCTCAGCGCCTCAGCGCTCTCATCCGCCTCAGCGCTCTCAAGGATACCACTGATATCATCAAGCCTTCCAAATCTAAAAACGCTCCATGGAACGATCAAATTTCTAACAAACTCCTGAAAACACTGCCTGATAGCATTATCTGCAAACTCGCAAGTATCTATAACGCCTTCCTTGCAAGGTCTTATTTACCGAAGCTTTGGAAGCAAGCTGACACCTTCATTATTCTCAAGCCATGGAAACCTCCGGATAAACCAACTAGTTACAGACTCTTTAGTCTGCTCTTCTCACTGGGAAAGAGTTTGGAAAGAATTACCTAGACATGTCTATAACTGCACATTACGTTTCTCCCTAATGATCAGCACTACTTTCACAGAGGTTTCTCTACCACTCACCAACTCATCAGGATCTCGGAATTTATAGGAGTAGCTCTTAGAAACAAACTCAGCGTCGCAACCTTCATGTTAGACGTGGCAAAGGCTTTTGACCGCGTCTGGCATGAGGGACTTCTCTACAAGTTTATCCATCTTCGTCTTCCTGATGAAGTCATTCTCATCCTGAAGTCATTTTTGGAGCACAGAGCTTTCTCAATGAGAGAGGAAGACTTTGTCTCAGATCCTCATCACACCCGAGGTGGTATCTCACAAGAGTCGATTCTTGCACCGATTTTATATCTCATCTACATTCACGATTTTCCAACTTCAAGGCCGATTGCAACTTTATACTCTCTTGGTATGCAGATAACACGGCACTCATTCAAAAATCTCGCAATCAAAATCATGTCTTACTCAAGCTGCAGGAAGCTGAAGTTGAAAACTTCTGTCGCTGATGGAGAACGAATATCAACCCTGAAAAGTCCAAAATTCTGTTAATCCGACGATATAAAAGAAACCTCCCCATTACGAATATCGCGACTCTATTCTGGGAAAAATTACCTATGGTGAACAATGGAACATAGCTTAGCATCACCTTCAATAACTCCTTCAGAGGGTCTTCTCACATTAACGCTACCAAAGGTAAAATTTAAGTTTTGATTCAAAAACTCTATTTTCTGTTCTGGGATTTCTCCGGCCTCGGTATACAGCACAAACTACGTATCTACACTGCAGCTATCCTTCCCAGCTTCTCTTATGCTTTTCACATTTGCACTAGTGCAACTGAAAATGACATATAAACAAATTGCAGGTCAAATTAACTTCGGATCATCACAGGAGCACCATACTTCATACTAAACAAGAACCTCAACAGAGACCTTAAAATAGACTATGTCAGAGATCATCTTAAGAAAGTCAACTAGAACTTCTACAGCAAGGCCATAAATAATCATCCAGCAGATTTCGCCAACTTGTTAAATTACGAAATGTTTGATGACGAATTCTCCACGCGACCATTTACTGCCCATTTTCTTAGTATGCTGGAGCACCACTCTTAAAAGTCAAACTTTCACCAAGCTCTATTCACTGAAGATCCTATCTTTGACCGGGTTATCTTCGCTTTCTTCCCAGTTTTTATGCGAAGCATGTTAGCCTAATTTTAACGCTCCAAGCTGCTGACCCTTAGATTGCAAATTCAAATCCCGGCCGTGAGAAAATTGTCAGTTTTTCTTACAGAATCATACTATGTATTTTTTTATGTTTATACGGATTGCCCGGATTTTTCAATTGTTTTAGAGCCTTCTATTGTATTTTTCATACATTTAGTACTCAAGATATTTATTTTTATTCATGCATCGTTCCTACTGCTGCCACTACGTTTGTCATGCTTGCTCTCATGTCCCTGAACTCTTCTGTTTTGCCAAGGATATGCAACTCCTTTTAGGAGATCCCTTATTCTATACCTGCACTTATTTTATTTCTTCCACCGCACCCTGTGAATATTGTATTTTTAATTCTGTATTCTTCTATGTACAGTATATAAGTTTTCAAGATGGCTTGAATTACTCAAATGCACCTCTCAAAGGTCCGAGATATGCTTGCTTCAATCCTGATTCTGATTCGCCAGCCAGACACATGTGATATTATGCTTTGACGAAATGTCTTTCCCCCCGCCCTGCTCTTCTCAGACGACTTCTCCTTCATCACTAGATGGCGCCACCTTCACGACCAGTTTCGGCGGCCTAAACTGATTTTTCGATTTTTTCCTCCCGTCTTCGCTAGGGGTCCCAAGAGTAGTAGAGGTAGGGGTGTGTAGTGCAGGGAGAAAATTATGCCACATACGCATGACGTCATGTGGGTGACAGCGTTAGTTCTTGGCGTTTGTTTACTTTCGTTGCATCAACAGTTTCATTCGATTTGTGTTGTTAATTTGCTATTATACCTAGGCGGAAGTGGCAAATTGTGCTATAGCGTTGTGTCAGAATTATACACGTTAATACTTTTTTGGCGGAAAAAACTCTTTACAACCAGATAAAATACTAACTATTTTTTAATGAATTTATGTAGTTTTCATACATAACTGTGATGTAATTTTACATTTATTTTTCATTTTACTGCTATTTTACATTTAAATTGAAAAATTTCTCATTTTAAACCATTTTTCATCATAATCTTCATTTTGTGTATGAGACTTACATCGTAGTGAGATATTTAAACTCAGTGTCATGTTTACCAATACTGAGCACCTGAATGATTAGTTAATAAATTCGCTTATTCAAATTCATTCACATGTTTTGGTTACTTTCTTTATATCCCAAACTTAATTCTATGTATGGAAGCAGCGTCTGTGTTATTGCGAACTAAGTAAACTGATACATGCCTCACCGTGAGGAAAGAACAATTTCTCAACCACGCTATGATGCAAACTTCGAATGAGTGAGTGACATATTTCCTTCAGTGTTATTTAACTGATGAATACAGAGTCATTAGATTAATTGGAAGCAGAAGAGATAAAAAACATGCAACCGCTTTCGCCGGGAATCGAACCACGGACCTCTGAAATACCGGCTCAGTATGCAGAACACTACACCACGAAGAAACGCTAGGGAAGTGGGAGAAATACCTTATAAACTCCGGTGCTTCTTTTTATAAAACTGAACCACAATTTCAAGGGAAATAATTTAGAATTCCTAACATTTTATTTCAACAATAAAATTTTATTAAAAATCGCTTATTAAATTTTAATTTTACTCTTTACATTTTATTTGATTTTAATTATTTAATTACTTTAGTCTTTAATTATTTCAATAAATAATACTTAATTAATTATCTAATAATTAGCAATTAAATTATAATTAATTAATTATTGATTAAACAGCAATTTATAAACATTAATAAATAGCTATGAATTAAATTGATAATAATTAACTATTTAATTTTAAAATTATTAATGAGTGTAATAGTCATACTATTTATTTATTTACTCCTGTTCCTCTTTGCTGACGGTCTTCCATAGGGCTCCAGCATTTCTAATTTTAGAAATTAAGCCCTGGTTATATAGAAATCTTAGGAGTGTAAGGGATTATAATAAGTGTTTTAGATAATACTGAAAATATATACACTTCTGCTGAAATCTGAAGTGAATCAGTATAAGTAAATGACTTTAAAAGAATATGATTAGTCTATTTAAAAGTATAAGGATGTGATATTAAGAGATTTGTAGAATTTTAGGGTAATTAAATATGAATTTGTTGATTTAAATCTTTTTATATATATTTTTGCTTGAGTTATGTAATTTTAACTGAAAATCACAATCATATATTTCTGATGGAATGTCAAAATTCATTTGTATTGAAAAAAATGCATGAGCAATGAAAATAAATTGGAAAATAATTTTTTTATTATGTTATTATCATGGTTTTAGCAGTTATGCCTTCATGTATTCTATTCAAAAAGATTTACTTAATGCAGACAATAGAGCATAAATATATTGGAAAATACCTCGTTTTACAACATTTATGTCCCTTAATTAACCTAAATATCTTTTTTCATTTTCTAATGCTTTCCTTTAAGGAAAGGATGTAATGTTTACAATTATTTTGAGCATTCGTACGAATTCTGTGCTTAAAATAAACATTCGCTTTAACAAAATGCTTAATCAGAAAGTATATACCCGGTATTTCCGGTATGTTATTATAATTCCCACATATAAAAGGATCATTTTGCTTTAGTTTACATTTTTCCCATTTACCAGACGCGCCGACGCCGACCCATATGTCTTGTCACCCGGGTGACGTCACTACCAGCAACCAATGGCACGTTTTTTCCGTTCCTTGCCTAACCTTTAATATTAAAGAACCTTGCGTCTTCGTGATTCCTCTCTGCGAGGCTTCATTCAGGCACTTTCATCACAATTCCAATGTGGATTTATTTTCATGAACGCAGGAAAATACTGCAAACCCAGTGGAATGCCTGCATAAACACATCTGTATCAACCAACGACTATCAACGGCCTCTAAAGACCAAAGAAATATTTCTGAATCAACAGGCAAAAAGATCTAATTTATAATGAAGAGCATAATATGTGTTTGTTTATGAAATTTCTTGCTTTTGGTGAAACATGGCACGCCGCTTTGTCTTCGAATTATTTCCTCGAGTTTTCTCGTTAATCATATTCAGATCAAAAAGTCAATTTAATGTTAATGCCGCAGTCTGTAATTCGCAAAATGAAATAAAAAATAAAATTTCTACACTTTTTGTGCCAGGTAGGCATGGTGGAAATATATATCAAATTGTAAAACCTGTCATAGATATTAATTTTATATCTGATAACATTCTTGAAATTAAGCGTTCGTGTGACTTAAGGGGTGTCGAGTTTGATCCCGAACATACACTTGATGTAATAAAGGTCTGGAGTCATCTGAAAAACAGGTACCAGGAAATGGTTGAAAAAGATGAAGAGTTTGGAAAAGAATTGGAACGACTTCAGTCTTTAGATTTGGAAACGGAGATTAAAGAAACAACACAAAAACGCATAGCGCTTTCACAGAATCTAAGATTAGAAAAAGAGAAATTGTATGATGTTGAAGATATTGTTATGCCTAAATTACAAAAAATACCGAATCTGATTGATGCCGCAACACCAACACAATTTGATACTGTTGATATATGCCAGAAAAGTACTGATTTTGAGTTTAAATTTTTTTCTCATGCTGAATTAGGAAAACTCATGTCACTGCTAGAATTCTCGAATAATGACCCAACTGTATATTACATGAAAGGGAAACTATCAGAATTAGAATTAGCCACACAAATCTATTTTTCTGATAAATTAATCTCCTTAAGTTATGCACCACTATCTTGTGTTGATTTTTGTAAGTCTTTTATTATTGAAGCTATTGGTCGTGATCCTCATTCGGTTGATGACTGCATCCCTTTAAAAAGTAAATCATCTCGTGAAAGTGGACAAAAATTAAATCTTGTGGGTGGTGCTTCATTAGAAATGTTCTGTGCTTATCTCACAAACATGAATGTTGACAAATCTTCATTTCCACTCAAGTATTATTCTTTGGGTCGCCGATATGATGCAAGAAATCGAATTAATTCCCAAGATTTGTTTTCAGTTGTGCAATCAACTAATATTCACTCTGTTATTTTATGTGATCAAAATGGTGAAAATGAAGAATTCAGTGCATTCTTTAATTCTGTGTTATTGTGTTATCAAGCATTAGGCTTACCTTATAGAACTGTTGATATTGCTGCTAAAAACCTTACTATAACTGAAAGTCGAAGGAAACAATTAGAGTTGTGGTCACCTAGTTTTAAAACATATGTACCAGTTGCTCATGTATCTCAACATAATAATTTTCTTTCTAAACGCTTGCACATCACATATGGCATTCAACATTCTGTTGAAGGCTATTGCTCTATAGTTGATGGTATTGTTGTTAATATACCAGTGCTAATAGCATGTATCATGGAAAATTTTCAGACAAAAAATTATAGTTTTGAAATACCTGCTGTGTTAAAAGAAATTATGGATAATTTATATGCATAAATTCTAGAAAAATTATGACTTCAGAATTATTGCAAATTCCAGATATATTTATATTTAAAAATAATTAAGCTGAAAATAAAGCAAAACTTGCTTTCAAATGGTGTAATTTGCTATTTCAGTATTTTAAAGACATTATAGTACCTTATAGTCAATATATACTCACTCAATTAAATTTTCTGGACTAAATTCAACCTTGATGGGTGATGCCTATCACATGTTTAAATATTTAGAAGACTATTAAAAATTTCCTGTAATTTGTTAACAAAAATTATTATGATATTTACACTTTATCTTCTCTTCTTTTCTCATTAGAATCGTCTAATTAACGAAACATTTTCATGATATAATCAGTGCTTATTTTGAAGACTATTCCACTGAAACGATGAGTACAAAAAGCTCCAAATTCACTAGCGTTCACTATATCATTTCATTTTAGTGTCCTGTCATTATTATATCATTATTTTCTGTATGTGTTAGAACAAAAGGTTGCTATAAAAAGCATTGCTTGTGTAACTACAGTCATCAATTTATTAATGTGGAATTGCTGGATTAATACATGTTATTCATTAAGAAAGAATGTCTAGACAATATGAAAATTGAGAAAAAAAAAATTAAAAAAATCAAAACACATAATTCCATTAACAAAAATTCAAGGGGAGGAATAGAGGTGCTTATGTGTAATTGCAACCACCTTAGTAGAAGTCGGCAGATTTTCAGAATGTGCCAAACTCTGACAACCATGCGCATAATGTTTCTTCAGGCAACCATGCTCTAACCAGTCCTTCTAACCGATTTTTGCAAGAATTCTCTTTGTTGCATTTCAGCAGATTTTAAAACAAATGGTGAAATTTTATGCCTTAAACTTATTTTTTAAATATGCACTTGTTTAATTTGCCAGCAATGAATAAACTTGCTCTAAAATTTCTTTAGGAACACAGAGTTTTGAAGCAAAATTTCTAAAGATTACAATTAGGAAATGCAATTGGTAGATACAGATGTTACTGGAGTTTGTGCGATGCCGTATCTCTGCAATTCTTTGATTTTTATTTTTTTTTTATGTATAAACAAATCACTGTGTACTTGGGCAGATAGATAGTGAAAAAAAAAACATACAGGAATATTTGAAGAAAAATGTGTTTTATTTTTTAATGTGTCATATAATGCTTATTTAATAAAACCAAAAGAGAAACTTATTTAACTATTAAAATTTGCATTTTTAATTACTAAAGTGCGTTTCTTTCTTCTATGCTAATACTGCTGACCAACTTTCAATAAATGTTGATACTTCGGGAATATTTTTTTAAAAGAGCCATGAAAACTAATAAATTGCACCCGATAAATAACTTTTACCTTTTCATATGTAAAAAATCACCAAATTTTGCCAGGGTGGTTGCTTTAGCATGTAAGTACCGGAAAGAATTTATTAAATAATACTTTTATACATATGTAAATAATCAAAGCTCTAATTTGCCAAAAAGTATCTCAAAGTTAATTTCCAGTAAAAAAGAACCGTAATCAGCCTGTAGTGTCAGACTTATATTTAATTGAGTTTTACATTAATATATTTTTCTTAGAAAATTATCTTATAATTTTATCAATAGAAAATTGTTTTACAATTCCAATTTCTGTAAAAATACTGACAAAGAACATGGATTAATTAGTAATTGTAATACTAATCAAAAGTATTTTTTAGGCATTTTAATGTTGAAAGTATTCATTTACTTTCTTCTTCATCCCCTAGTTTCTCTTTTTCTGTATAGTAAATTTTTCTGCCTTATTTCTAAATAATGATTTTAAAATTTTCTTCAAATTAGTATTTTAACTATTTAATACTAAATTTATTTTATCTCCTTTCATAGCTTTAATTTAAAAAATATTAAAATTAACAATTCTTTAGATCCTGTTGCAAATGCCAGGCAGTCACCACTTCAGTTAGTCTTCCAGCTTCCTAATATTTCTGAACAGTGCAATTAAAACTACAAGTGCAAAACACATGCCAGTATGTTCCCCTTTATAGGTTGTCTAGAGTAACATAAAATATAAATAGGAGTGGTCTTAAGTTCAATTTTAAATAAATAAGTATTAAGCCATTTGTTATCAGTTAATGAGTAGCACATTTTGATGGGTTTAACATTACCTAGAAAACATCATTATCACATTACACCCATTTTTGTTAAGTTATGTTTGAATATCCAGGACTGAGATGCACAGTAATAATAAGAAGATGCAACTGTTTTAAAACTATAAGTTATGTTTGTATGTATATAAACTTTCCCCATCTTGAGGGAAATAGATTAAATAATTTGTTCTTATTGTACAGTGAATTATTGCTTAATTAATTATATTTTGTATAAATTATACTTTCTATAAATATACAAAAATGTACCTTTGAAGACTTTTTGCCTCCCAAGTGAGCGAAGAGGTAAAAACAATAGCAGTAATTATAGCACAGTATTTGGCTCACTGATCTGTAACTTTAAAAATGCTGGTTTGTTTCTGCAATAAAGTATAGTTGGTACTCTTCCATTTTGAGGACCGTAAAATAATTACATCAAAAATGTATGTGCAAAAGCGCCAAATCTAGCAAACACACCCATTTAACAGTGTGCCAAATCTAGCGTACGCTCTGATTTCAGATTATGTAAATTTATATAGCTCTATGTTTCTTAAGACGCCATTGAAATACTAGTTTAATTTTTAAATCCTTTTTAGATATCCTATGGATTTAACAATTTGGGAATTGCCCCCAAATCCCAAATTGTTAAATCCATTGGTAAAGTGCAGAATTTTGGGTAAAGTGCAGAATCGCACACTGCTTGATGCCTTTTTAAGAGTTGCACATACTCGGTATCCATGTACACAGCGACCTATTTTCACTTAAAAACAAAATCCCAGAATTGCACAAAAATGGCACTGTACACACCCTTGACTTTATCTATGTACACATCGACCGATTTTCACTTAAAAAGTAAAAGAAAATTGACAAAAATCTAGTTGTTTTTACCGCCCTTGTAAAAAGCGGCAAACAAATAAGTGGGCGATTGTGCACTTTACCGAGATTTTTTTTCAAAGAAAAAGCATCATTCATTATAGAAAATTATGTTTGAACAACCAACAATATGAAATTATGCTTTAGCGATAACTCGGTAGCGAAATAGCGATGCAGGCATCCATTCAGTTTATGTTTAACAATTTTTATATAAATTATAAAAATGATCTGAAATAGTTATTAATTCTTATGCTTCCATTCAGTCATGTTTAGCATTTTTTTATATAAATTATGATAATAAAAAAGTATTATAGGAAATTAGCCTTTCATCTAAATTAAAACATCAATCTTAGATAGTTATTTACTATTATACTTCCTTTCTTGCATTAGGGTTGCCATAATTATTTTTAGCACACTGGCATCAATAATAGTTTGGCAATTTTTTAAGGCCCGCAAAACCGAATATTATCGTATAATTTTTAGAGTTACCTAATTATTATCTGATAAAAATAGTTATAATAGATTTCATTATCAGTTTCACAAATGAGGAAAATTATTTTTCAGTAATAATTAAGCAACTTCTTTTCAATAACTTAAAGAACAATGTAACATTCATCCATTTTAAAAATTGTTCTGCTAAAAAAGTGCAAAATTCTTTTTGTGTTTTATATTAAAACTGAAATTTAGATTGTTCATATTCATATTTTGCCTGCTACTTTTTTTTTTTTTTTTTTTTTTTTTTTAATACTTCAACTTATTTTGTATTATGACTTTGTGCTTCAATACAGACCAAAGTTCAGGAATTTTTTTGGTCATATTAAAACTATAAATATGTTGAATCATAAAACAAAAAATATTTTATTTCTCTTGTACAATAAAACTCTTTTCATTTACAACAAAACTCTTTGGCAATTCCATTTCATACATAATAAATTATAATAAATAATTTATGTACTCAATTTAATTTAAAGTTCTTTAGTTGCCAGACTTTGAGAATAAGCTTTTAAATGTTATTTTCTACAAGGAATAAAATGCTAATCATATAAGAGGTAAGACCAATACTTATATACAACACTAATTTAAGCTTATAAGAGGAGTAATTATGTAATTTCTCTAATTTAAAAAATATAGTCATGCGGACCTTTGGCAGAAAAGTATGTATTTTATTTCTGTAAAAGAAGTATAATTACTGTAAACAAGTGTTTTTGTAAACTGTATTAAGAGCTACATAGGTTGACTTGTTCCACGTTGACGAAAAAAGGAAAGAAACGCTTGGTTACCTCCTTCTCGCCCCCAACGAGGAGTTTCCAGACACTTCGACAAGTACCCTTGGCCAATTTCCATCTTTGGTCAGCAACTTGAGTCTTTTGCTTTCCCCCATAGCTACTCTTGTGGTACTGAAATGTGGTCCTCGTTTGAGTCTTTTTCTAGGAGGACTTTTTTCTGTAATTGGACTAGGTTTAAGTTCTTTTGCTAAATGTGCTGGCTTCCTAGTTTTCAGTTACGGAGTTGTGGTCGGGATTGGTTCCAGTTTAATAGTTGCAAGTTTGCTCTCCCAAATTGCAGCTTTGTTTACCTCCCGCAAGCCTTTAGCTTTTGCCTTGTATATGTGCGGAGAGTGTACGGGGGCATTTGTGCTTCCTTTTTTAATCGATTTTCTTTTAGGTGAGTACGGGTGGCGCATGGTATTTTTTGTTTTATGTGTTTTGAATGTGCCCACCTCTTTGGCTGCTGCTGCGTTCGAGAGGCCCGAATTTTATTTTGTCGAAATTTCCGAGGAAGTGGAAATTAAGAATCCTACGGAAGAAGAAAGGCCAGCAATGGTTGTTCCTATTCCCGAGGTTCCAATTTCAAGCTCCTTGAAATTATGGCATAATATCAGGGACTCAACAGGGTTGACGCTCCTGAAGAAATGGGAGTTGTGGTTGATGTTGGTGGCTATTGCTTCTCACGGATTTGGCAGTGCAGGCTTGAAGTCCATTTTTGAGAATGGCCTGAAGGAACACGAGTTCCCGATAGGACATACGTACTGCTTCTTGATGACGGTGTTTGTTCGATTCACATACGGCTTGTTTAGTGGGCAGTCTCGGATTCCAAGGAACTTGGAAT